GAAAAATTGAATTTCATATTATTTCATCATGAAGTTCTCAATCATAAATTAAAACGCCAACCTACTTTGTTTTGAGATTAAATTCAGACACTTGGACATCAAATGCACAATCATTATATAAGTAATAAGCACACCAAAGAGGAAAACTAGAATGAAGGAATTGTAAAAGGTACTTATGTTTGAACTTTGAAGCTATATCTGGTCGTGGAGGTGATCATGAACTCACAACTGCATGCTACTAATACATCTACAGTAGCGTGGCTGTGCTTAAACCAGACAGACCCAACCACACAAGCAATTATCACCCTAGCTCCTACCTTACTGAATTCAGTAAAATAATTGTTGGTTCATAGTACTTGTCCCTACCTTTATATAAATATAATAATAATAATAAACTTAATTATTATCTCCAGCGTACCTAAAAACAGACAAGTTTGGTGACGTGCAAAGAATATCTTGTATTCTTGCTGTGAGAGAACTCCGACGTGGTTGATTTTGCCTTGTATAGTTAATGTTCGGAGATGTAATTCTATTGTTGAGGGATGATGAGCACAAGTGTGTCTTGTTTCACACTTGTTTGGACTAATAATTTAATTATAAGATCATTGGCACTCGGCACTTGATTTTCTATCACTTCCCTTTCCCTTTTCTTATGGGGAAAGTATGTGTACTTGTGGGCTTCTTTTGAAACATACGTTAATTACACGTACGTACAAATATGAGTAGGACAAAACAATTAAACTCAAGGTGTACGTAGTTGCCTTGCAAGTCACTTGAAGCTTTCCTTTTAGATTTTAACACTTGGCAATTCTAAAACCGAGGACAAAGATTCAGATACGTTCTGTTACTGATCTGATCACCGATCATACAATTTGTGGGTACCATTTAATTACTTGACAACTTGAGTTTAATCTGTAAAATAAGAGCCCATCGGAGGCAGTGTGGGAGAGAACCATAAAAAGAAGGAATTTGTTTGCTCATGACAGCTAATTAAAGAATTTCAAAGAAGCGGTAATGAGAGTAAACGGGTCCACATATGAACTATACTCACCTAAGCTCTGAGATAGAAGTCAAAAAACCAACAAATTGGATTATGAACAACCCCAAAATCTTACCTATATGTATGTTTAATAAGACAATAAAATGTTTTAGACATCTCAAAGGTCAAGATGTTGATTTAAAGTTTGACATGGAGGTTCCTCTATAAAGACAAGTGTGCGGGGCCATGCCAAACAAATTGATCAGTACATAATCAAACAAAGGCTTACAAAACTTGCATGGTTGTTGTACTTAATCGTTTGATTTCCATCCAACTAATAATTCAGAGCAAAATCATATTCAATGGTTAGGATTTTAAGTTGCTTAGCCAATCAATTAATTAACCTTGAATTAGATTCGTGTATCGAACAATCTAGAATGACCTCCAAAGCATAGAAATACGTGGCAATGGGTGAGTAATGGTACGTAAAAGTATTAACGTATGGATAATGTCCGCGTCAAGTGAAACTAAAAAGTAATAATAATAATTAAATCATTTTCTATGTTGTTTTATCAAATGTGCACGCATGCATGTGTACGAGAGTGATGTTAATATGCTTCGTAGATAATTAAGGTTAGAATCTTTTAAAATGGCAAGATTATATCTAGCTAGAGTGGTGATGATCAATTGATCGATCAATGGAGCATAAATAATCCTAATTAAGTAAGCTAAGTAATTATCCAATTGGAATGTAGTTAATTACCCAAACTAAACTAATTAATGGAAAGATTAGACATGAACTTATAGTTAAACAAACGAGCATTCTTTGTTATATGGAAAGCTTGGTAGAAGATATAATAAATGTCTGGGTAGAGAAAAAAAGCATGAATGCAACACAAAGTTTTTCTTATGGAATGCCATTAAGTTATTGATTATAGAACTTAGAAGATAAGTAGATTTGGCAAGTTGTTAATTACCTTTGTGCATTGATAAGGAAGCAACTCAATGTAGTAATTAGAATGAAAACAAATATGTTTGTTGGCAATTTTCACTTAATAAATACATTATCTATAGACAAAAGTAACACTATTTTTTCAAATGTCAAATGATGTATTTCTCATTTGGGTCGTGTTGAAGAGAAGACCAAACGTTTAGCTATTAGTCGTATGGTACGCACTTCAATCAATTACTGTATTTGTCCAACTCTCTGTTTTTTCTTTCTTGATTTTTTAATTTCAAGTTTTGTCGTGACTGATTAAATAAAAAAATTCACTGATCTGAACCAACTTAAAACATTGACATGAATTTCGGTTTTTATGCCAAAACTAAATACTTTTTTGAACTTCAAAAAAAAAAACCAAAAAAAAAAAAAAAAAACCAAAAAAAACCTATAGGTGCAATTATTATCTATGTCCCAAAAAAATTTTTTTTTCTGTTTATATCTACTTTGAAATATTCCTCTGATCAAAATTTTAAATAATATATATTTTTTAAAATAATCTTAATTAAAAAATCTTTTTTGTTATTAACTAACAAAAAATCAATATTGTTATACTTTTTTCTTATACGTATAAATATTTTTAACATAAAATTTTAAAATAATTTTTTTTCATAGAGAGTAAAATATTTCTATTAGTATATTATTTTTTCATAATTGTTTTAAACTTGATTGTTAGTTAACTTAATAATTTTTTTTTATTTACAACCCTAATTTTAGATATAATTTCTCCTTAAATTAATATTATTGAACAATTTACTACAAGATTATAATAACTAATAATTTTAACAAAAAATATTAAAAAAATACCGATATGGCATGATAATTAAAAACTTTTTTAATTATGTAAAAATTTAAAATTGACCATCTCTTTAAAACAGATAGTATTGTTTTTTTTTTCCAACATGTCAAGTTCGGTTGTTAACTTTGGTTTTATTATCATAAATTTACTGCAAGAATTGATCGATAATATTAGTACTAATTTGTTAGGGATGTAAGTGGATTTTTGCATGGATAACAATTAATTAAATTATTTGGATTTATGTATTTGCTTTTTATTGTGCGGAACGGTGTAAACAAATGAGATTGGACAAAATAAAAAATTTAGATGATGATATTTTGAAAATATTCTAAGAAATTATTAAGTAAATTAGATGAAAGTATTCTGCTAATATTAATTAATTTTGATGTATTATTAATTCTTGTTAGCTAATTTCTTTTATAAAGTTTTATATATTTTTTTTATTTTTCTTAATAAATTCAGTTGAGACCCTTTTTTTGTTATGCCTTATTTAAAGATTATGATGTGCTAGAGTATTTTAAACCACATCGATCATTGTTTTCCACTCAAACCCAAAAAAAAAAAAAAATGGTGAACATTCAAATAAATAAAATAAAAGATTAAATACTCAAAAAATAATAAAAAGTAAAATATTTAAAACGCAGTTATCTCTTTTATAAAAGAAAGCAAAAGATATGATTGATGTGATCAAAAGAACTAGTAAACTCTTTGTTGAACAGATAAATTAGTGACTGAAAACCCTCATCGGCTCAACCTGCAGATAATGGTTATAGTCATTTTGGTGCATCTCAAGTGCCTTAATTATGGGCATGGAATTTAATCCTCCATTCCTTTAAAAAATCAAATCTTCTTATAAAGTACTTAACAAAAAGGGAAAAAACAACATATTAATGAACCTCCTAATTACAAATGAAAAAAGATTTGCTTGAAGCCCTTCAAACCCCACCAAGTCGTATATATAGATTAGTTAGTCGGATTTCAATGTTCAATGACTTGATTTTCCCCAATCATGTCACATTTTGCCTGTAATATTAGAAGTGCCACTTAATTGATATTATTACTTTTATGCTTTCCAATAACAAGACACGGAATTCTTCTTCAACTCTATAATCCTACATATCAGGAAATGCAAAGCAACTGTAAAAAGATGGATTGGTGTCGTGACTGATTCTAGTCGAAAGATTAATCAATACAAATGGACTTGTTCATTAATGACTTTCAACATAGACACACTTGCTCATGTAAACTCGACAAATTGAAGATAACATTAGGGGCTCTTTCTACAATGTCTTTGGTTGTAACCGAAGGCATTGAACTCGGACACACGCAACTCAAAACTTTTTCGTTGCAGAAATTAATTTAGATTTTGCCATAACGATTTTTGTACTAGTATTTTTATTTATTTTTTAATTAGACACATAAATTGGTAACGTTGATATATATATTTCCCATATATAGCATAAAACTTTTTTTTCTTTTTTTCTTTTTTTCGTGAACAATGTTTTGCTACATGTTTTGGGTCATGATCGAATTGTTTGACATCCGATCACAGCCGTGGACCGGATGTTTTGACAGGTGCTTTTATTTTCACCCCAAGGAACCTATACATGATACGAAAATAGGTTTTGGCCAAATATATATAAAATCAAAACCCATCTACTAAGAGATTTCTGTACAAATCCAACGGTTAACGTCATTAATGCAAAATAAGACATATTACCTGTTAATTGGCAAATTGTATAATGGAGTACAAATATTTCAAAGACACTTAAAACGTGGTGATGACGAAATTGCTGATGGAATGGTGGAGTAAGAGTGCAATCAGGGAGTGGGGTTGTGTAGGAAAATGGGAAGAATTTCTTTTCTTTCCTTCTTTCTTTCTTCATTTTTCTTTTTCAAAACTTTTGGGCTGTTTAGATGGAGCTCTGTCTTTTGGTCATTTATCATTCTCTTTCACTCATTTTTTGGGTACCCACATAAACCAGAACAAACCATTTTAGTTCCCATGTCCCTTTCACAAACGAATGGTGGGCCCTGGAATCTCCTCCTCTCCCTCCATACATGGATGTATATATACATACTTAGGGTAGGAAAGTAAGGACTTTAAATAAATGTGGTTGTGGGGCTTTTGATCAGTCTTTCCAACTTACAAGTAGTAATATTGGCAAGACTTAATTTGTTTCAGCTTAGCTATAGTCAGCTATCTACCTAGTGTGTGCAATATGGGAAGGCAACCTTGCTGTGACAAACTTGGGGTCAAGAAAGGTCCGTGGACAGCTGAGGAGGATAAAAAACTCATCAACTTCATTCTCACCAATGGCCAGTGCTGTTGGAGAGCTGTCCCTAAGCTTGCAGGACTCCGACGATGCGGCAAGAGTTGCCGGCTTCGTTGGACTAATTATCTTCGCCCTGACTTGAAGAGAGGGCTCCTTACTGAAGCAGAAGAACAGCTGGTTATTGATCTTCATGCTCATCTTGGCAATAGGTTAAATCTCTTCTTCGTGTGAATTCATATATGTTTACGATGAACATGCATTAAAGCATATTGTTTAAATATTTTGGTTATTTTATCAATGGTGTTTGGTGGGTTGTGTGCCTTTATGGACATGTTTTTCTGCTAACAATATGTGGAGTAAGTTAAAAATATTACTAATGTAAAAGTTAAGCTTGTCAATTCTATTATAATATTGTTGAAATTAAGATCAATATAATGCATTTTCAATTAAAGTGTTTGACTAGGTAACGAATGGATTAATTTGTAGACGATTGCATCTGAGGAAAATGCAACTAATCATGTCCTTAGATTGCCAAGGATGTGATATGATTGATTGTGATAACATCTGGTTTTGAACAGTTAATGGTGTTTGACACCAAATAAATCTTGTTATTCCTATTTTCTTATGGGCCTAAAAACAAAAGGTGGGGATATATGACAAGGCCATAAAGTTTCAACAACAAGAGCCATATGGATTTGCAAACTGGCCAGCATGAAGTGCAAGAATAACTCTGCCATCGATCTTGGTTTTACAGATTAGTCATCATTTTTTATAGTTCATTGCCTGCTTTTCAAATGAGCTCTCAAACATTAATTTTATATATTACAGCTGCTTGCTTAATTAAGATGCAGCTGATGAATACTTTTTAATGAATATTTGGTGTTTGATTTTGAAATGGAAGTAAAACATAGCGTTGATTGTTTTTTCCTTTCACATAGGTGGTCCAAGATTGCAGCTAGATTGCCAGGAAGGACAGACAATGAGATTAAGAATCACTGGAACACTCATATCAAGAAGAAGCTTCTCAAGAGGGGAATTGATCCTGTTACACATGAACACTTACACAAAGAAGCCAAGCCTGATGAATCTTCACCGTCTCCTGCTGTTCTTTTGCCAGAATCTGGTAACAACAATGTTATGCAAGAAAATGATGGAATCGTTATTAATTCGGAAGATAATTCAAGATCACCGACTGAAAACTCTTCTAGCACTGAGGATTCGCTCTTGTTAGATAGTATTTGCAATGATGAAATGTTGCTGAGTAGCTTGTGGATGGATGAGGCTCCGCTAGTGGATGCGTCATGGAACAAAAATATTCCTCCGGCCGCTGAAAATACTAACAACGACATGGGTTATCCATCATGGGAGGAAAATTACACTTGGTTATCGGACTGTCAAGATTTTGGCGTTCACGATTTCGGATTTGATTGTTTCGACAACATGGAATTAAGCGCACTTAACAATTTAGAGATGGAGCACAAGCAGTAGATTATACATACGTGTGGATGCTAGAGTGATGATAAGAAAATTTTACATCTTCAAAAGTGAACATGTTACAAAGTATCATGTATAGTTGAAGTTAGGTTCTCAGGGTTGAATTTTATCTCTTGTATGTTTTATTAGATGATAATTATTGGTGGGTGGGTCGAAGTAAACCTGTCTTCTTTAGAGGTTTCTCACCAACCCAGTCAAACAGTGATACCAAACCAAAATCATTAAAATGTGACATTACTTTGTGCTTTACAAATGTTGTAATCTCATATGTAAGAGATAGGGACAGGCTCAGGCGTATATTGTCAAAATGCTAGTGGGGCTTTTTACAGGATTGTAATTATTTGTATATAATGTACATAAAAAGATGGAAATAAAGTGGATGATGTTATTGATTTTTTTTTTCTTTTTTGTAACTATGAAGAAAGTGATCAATCTAGCTAATAGTTGCACTCTTAATCTTTTGTTATTAACTAGCCTGGACGACTCTGATTTTCCTCGAATGCTAGCTACTGGTCTCAAACAGGGATTTCATTGCTTACCTTGTAGATTTAAAGAATTTACTTCTGTTCATATCAATAGGGAATTTAAGCTTTGGCATTTAGCCCCACAAAGACAGGTCCCCTATTATTTGAGAAATTTTCAAGTTGCTGACGCAGTTTGGCCTGCTGTTCATCAAGCAGCCATGTGTTTGTGCAACTCTTCAAATTTACGAATTCAAACACAAAGACTTTCACAAATTAAAGTGAAAAATTCATCCAGGAAAGGAAAAAAAAGACAATACCTGTCACTGGGGAAAAAAACATTGAGCTTTTATATATCTTTATGCAGGATGTACAGAAAGGTGAAACTTTAAATACTGAAATATAGGAAAATTAAGTTAAAGCTTGCTATATCCGCTGTTCAAGAACTTTCCTCTGTTTTATGTACTAGTACTCATATAAAGTACAAAAGTTGCAAATTTAGTTTACACTAAAGCATTTGTATACTTTATATTATCAGTACTGACGTGTTGAAGGCTTGATTATTACCCATGTCTCGGAGAGTATTCTGCTATAAAATACTCAGCAATTTTTAAGTGGCTGATTGAAATTAGATTAAAAGGTTGTGATGTTATATATTCCTTATCAGTGGGCTGTGGAAAAATTGAATTAGGAAAACAAAAAAAAAAGAATGATCAATATATCTATGTGCAATAACGATTTTTTTTTAATATCGAGAACAGTAAATCTAACTCAGTGTTGATTCAGTTGCGCACCAGACCTCTCCCCCTTGCTTATGAGTTATGACATGACAAAGATATCCCAAAGCATCCAAGAATTATATTCATTTGCTACAGTGCCACACGTGGCGTGGCAAGGATATGTCTCCATATATAGTTTTAAGCTGAGAAGATAATAGAACTTGAATGAGCACAAACTCCATTAATGTTTCTTTTCCAAGAACCTGTCACCTCATCATCATTCAAAGGATATTCTGGAGAAAAAAATGCAGCTGAGCGGAATGTTTGCACTAATATAATTGCACCTTAAGCAACAGTCTTAATCATGATATGCCCATTAGCTTTAGTTGTTTAGTGGAGCTAGTTATCAGATTGAGAAAAGCACTACATATATCCTTGATCACTTCACTCCCGAACCTACCAACAAGCTACCGGCTGATCAGAATTAAGATTCTTTTGGGTGTCCTCCTAAAACGTAATGGATTAATTAATGGCCTCTTTAATTACTCTTTTGGATTTGATTCCTTTTCTTTTAGAACAATGATTTGGTTAATTGTTTCTCTTGATAATAATATTTTTATTTCTTGCCTTGTAAAGAACACACAGATTGTGCTAGTAATAAATAGATCCAGGGGAATAGCCACTTCTTTTGCAGGAAAATATTATCAAAAATATATATATAAAAAAATATTTTGAAAGGAAATAAAAGATCATAATTTTTTATCCAAATATTTGAATATTCAAGAAGTAACTAGTGGTATGTACGGTAGTAACTTCATGAATCTATTTTTAAAGAGAAAGATAGACATATAAAAAAGAAAAAAAATTACATCTATATGTACTAAAAATGATAAGAAGATTTTCACCTTTGTTTATTTTTTTTAATTTTCTCTCTCATGTTTCTCTCTCTTTTTTTTTTTTTTTTGTGTTTATCTCCCTTTCTATGGAATGGTTCCATAGAATAACAATTATACATATCACTAATTATTTTTTAAATATTATAAAATTTCTCTTCGGTTTAGGCCGATATTGTCAATTCAAAAATTTGAGATTGTGTCCACAAAGTTTCAATATCAAAATCCACTTAGAAAACTCATTTTCAAGTTATTTTGTGATTCGTGCTAACAAAATTGGTCCAAATTGCTCTAATTTAGGAATTAAGATTTTCTAATTTATTTCTATTCTTAATGTTGTATTTCTACAATTAATTCTGGATTTCTAGTATATTTTATTTTTTAATTTAGCATTTTGTCAACTTGTGAGATTTTTGGCGATTTAATGTATTTTGTATTTTAGAATTTTTAAGCATTAATAAACCCTATATCCTTTCACGGTTTATTATATTTTATTTTTTAGAATTTTTAAGTGTTGATACACCCTGTATCCTTTTACTATACACTACGTTGGTCAAATTTACTAAGCGGCTAGGTTGGAAACAAAATTCGGAGATTGAAAATGTCTAATCTCTGTCAAGGAATGAATGATTTCACTGAAGAATTCTAACCGAAGTGTCTCTGCAACCACTGGTCAGGACATTGCCGAAGTCCAAAGATTTCATGTCACCGGGAGCTTGATTGAGAAGATTTTATTTTGAAAGAATGTCTTAGAAAATGCAGGAAAAAAAATCCAGTTGATCAATTTACAATCTCGAATAGACTGTGACATCTCAATAGACCTTAAATTCAACATATGTAACAATCAAGATTGGATGTTTGATAGTTGAAAATTTTTTATCATAAAAAAGGTACTTAAAATTTTTATTCAGGCAATGGCAAGCCATTAAGTGTAGGCAAGAAGTTGTTCCTATCAAGTTGCACGATCATGATATAAAGGTTTGTGTCAATGTGAATTTTCTTAAGAAACAAGTCAAGGCATATTTTGCATTAAAAAAAAAAGATTATTTATGAAGTCACATATTTAACCAAAACGTTTGCCTCGGATAATTCATCTTCAACTTGGTAAAAAAAAATAATAATAATAACAAATAACAAAAACCATCTCTTTAGTTGATATTTGTGGAGCTAAGGCGAATGGTTTCGAGTTCCTACAAGATGGAATCTCCTTAGAGCTCTTTTGAATTAAAAACGAAAAACAAAATCTGCCGCCTGATTTTTATTGATTGTTGTACACCATGATGTAATTGAAAGATGCTTTTAGTAACAAGGGCGTTGGAGTTTCTTTTGTTGGACACCAATATGACTTTTGGTACTTCTTCGAAAATCATGGAAGTAATGAATATAAACCTAATGACAAGAATTTATTTATTTAATGAAAAGTAGTAAGTAAGGAAGCAGGACCTCAACAGAAATAAGAAAATTTTCCCAGGAAAAGAATCAGAGGAGTGCTTAAAAAGGCGTGGAAGATGTGATCAAGACCCTACACTACACATAAGATCCTCAAGCTCCATTGAATGGTGTTGTGGCCTAGCTTGGCCTTAAAAAATTGAGTGATCGCAAAGTAGAATGCTGAATCATGAGCTAGAATTATGTGCGGGTTTTGACATCCATTTTTTTTTTCAAAAAAAAAAAGAAAAGAAAGAAAGAAAGAAAACCAACACAATTTAGCAGATGCTGCCTTCAAGTGTTTTCTGAGAAAAAAACAAGAGAGTCCATATTATATTATATAATGAGGGAAAGTTGCCCATCCCCTATCTTTTGATATGTATGTACCATCTATTTTGACATGACTTGGGGGGAAAAAAAACTTTGGGCTAAAAAAAAAAAAAAAAAAAAAAGGGCTCCTGGGTACAATTTGGTAATAAATTTTCTCTCGTTATTTTACTTGACAAATGACGAGATGGTTTTTCCATTTCACTTGGAGAGATTGGAAATGGCACACCTCCTAGCTCCTCTTAGGCATTAATGGTAAAGTATCACAAATTATATAGACCGAATTCTTTGCTGCGATCATATATGCCTTATGGGTCTCGTAATAGGTAAAAATAAGAATAAAAATTTCATGATGTAAGGATTTAATTAGGTGGATCAATAACATCTAACCAATTTGGGCCCGTCGCTGTTGAGGCATTCCTATTTTGGAATTGTTCGTTGGCTTATCAGAAAATTATATATAGGAATAGTTATTCTTTATTATCCAATAATAAAATAATTCAACGATGATATTTGTTCGAATATGTTTCATTAAAAAAAATACTAAATATAAAATCATTAAACTATATATATATATATATATATATATATAACAACTTTTTTTTAAGTACAAATTTACTTTATATCATCATAGTTCTTAAATCAACTTGGATTGGATAGATAATTCAAATTTAAAACCTAAAATTAAATTGGTTATTTAATAAATAAAAACATAATCGTAAGACCAAATTGGATATTTAATTGGACTGGCTATATGGTTGATTCAATCAAAATGCAGTGGGTCGGAAAAAAAATGATGGTTTTAATGTTTTATCAAAAAATAAAAAATAATAATATTTAGATTTACTCGGGGACTCATGAGTTGATCCGGTGACTCAAATCTCTTAGTGGGTCGAGCATCGAACTGAATTTCACAATTATGGCTTATTATCGTATCGTTCCTTCTATGTCATTTGCTTTTGTAATGAATTCACATACCACAATTTGGTTCATACGAGGGACTTGTTCAGAAGTTTTTCGTTAAAAAATGGACCTGGTGTTCTCTGTTTTGGGCCCTGTTGCTTTATGATTTAAGTCTTGGTATGTATTAAACTTCTCCAAATTTATTATAATTTAGTCATTATAGTTCAACAAAACAAATTAATCAATCAGTCCTTGTAGTATCTAAATAATTTATATAATGCATAGATCTATCTTCAATTGAGTATTTTGTTTGTTCCAAAAAGTACTTGTTACATAATCAAATTTCCCTTCTCACCTACTTCTCTTATCTTTATTCTGTTTTAAGGAAAAAAAAAAAAGACAAACATGAAATTGACAGAGACTAAATTATAAATGAATTTGATAGTACAGGTAACAAATATATTTTGTTTAAATTACAAAAAAAATAAATAAATAAATAAATAAAATCTAAACTTATTACTATTCGTTTACTGTATAGTCACACTTATTTACACTGTGGATGATCATTCAGTGGTACATTGCTGCCTTTTCTCTCGTCACAGTAATTAGATTTTCTCTATTATGTATTTTTAAGAGTTTGTTTGTTAATTGATCTTACTTTTTAAGACAAACTTCTTTCTTGTCGGTCTACCTTTTTATTTCCTCTCCTAAGAGCATTTAATGCCCCTGTCCGTCAGTAGCTTTTCTCTATCCTTTTACCCTTTGTTTGGATAATTGCTCTTGAAAGAAAAGAAAATAAAATAAAAAAAAGAAAAAAATTATTTTTCATTTGTTGTTTGGATAAGAATGAAAAGTAAAGTAAAGAAAATACATTTCTGTTGTTTGGATAATTGTAAAAAGAGGAAGGAAAGAAAATGTATTATTATATATTTATTATAATACCCATATGATTATATTTATATATTTAAATACTTATAATAAATTTGTATTAATATTTTTTTTCATGAAAATAACACAAATTATAATAAAATAAAAATCCAGCATATAGCATATATCCGAAATGATAAGATAGATAATGAATCGTCTCTATAGAATAATCGATAGCTTGTTTATTAATTAATTAATTCAATAGCCAATTTAGATTAATTATCAACATAAAATTAATTTAAATATGTATAACATGTATTATTATCTATGCATATAATAAGTTAGTTGCTTTTACGCATCATTTTCTCCGTTTTTTAGAATAAAAAATTATATTTAGCAATTAAATTTATTATTTAAATTTAGTTTTCAATGTAAAAAAAAATGCTTTCTTGTCAGCATTGCAAAGGCTTTGAGCAGTTGTAGTGCAAGCACGAGTGATATTATCAGCACCACAGAGAGGCTCAAAGAGGAACTCGAAATCACCACTCAGAGACAAGACGTTGTCTCCTGCTTCCTTCACGATTATCAGCTCTTTAACCAAGAGATCAATGCTCTTAGGGATGAGGACCTCAATGATAACTTCTTCAAGGCTCTTTCCCATGTGCAACAAATCAACGCCAACTACAAGGTCCTGCTACGTACACACCATCAGCGTGCTGGTTTGGAGCTCATGGATATGATGACTGTCTACCAAGAAGGAGCCTATGAGGACCTTTGCAGGTAAACCCACCAGCCCTCATTTTTTTTATAACCGCTTTTTTCATTTTAATTTGAGGAATGCATGCTTTCTGTTTCTTTGTTTTCTCATTTCTTCAAACATTTCCCCTGTCTTGTATGGTTTAATTTAAAAGATGTCGCTCCTTTATGTATATATATAATTATGTATGTGGGTTCAGGAAGAGTGTAGGAAATTAGGTGACACTGATAATCCTGTAGTTGGTGAGCTTTTGAAAACAGTTGTCCGTTGCCTCAAGGAAAGGCCCTAACAGCTTCCGCGAGAGAGAGAGAGATCATGTTTGCAGAGACGCGATGATGGCAGAGAAAAAGCTTCAGCGAGAGAGAGAGCGATTGTGTTTGCAGAGACGAGATGATGGCAGAGAAACAGAAGGTAACGGCTAAAGGCAAAGGCGAAACTGAGAAAAACAAAAAAAAAAATTTCATCCCTTCTGTTTTTCTTCTTGTTTCCTCCCAATTTTGGGAGAAAAATGAGTTCCACCATTTTTGTATTGTTTTTTTTTTTTTTTTCTTTCCACTGCTTTCCCCCTTCCCAAACGGTGGAAACATTCTTTTCATTCCCATTTTCTTTCCTCTCATCCACTTTCCACCCTATCCAAACAAGGAATTAAATAATTTTTGCTTTCCTTTTCAATCTTTTCTTTCTTGGTGCGTGTTCCTCAACCCATTCATTTGGTTTAGACAACTAAATTCTTTTTCTTTTCTGCCTTTCATGTTTTTTATTTCCTTTCCTAAGAGCATTTAATGCTCTTGTTGGCTATCTTTTTCTCTATTTTTAAAATAATATTTGCTTTTCTTTCAACCTTTTCTTTCTCGGCTAGTGTTTCTCTACCTCCTTTCATTTGGTTTTCGGAACTAAATCTTTTTTCCTTTCCTTTTGATTTTTTATGGGTTTTTTTTTTTTTTTTTTTCTGGTTCCTCCAGTTCATTGTGCGTTGTATTTTCCTGCTTTTAGTTCCATCAAAACGAGATGGGTGCCTTTGTTTTTTTGTTTTTTTGTTTTTTTCCTTTGGGTTTCCTTCCTTTGCTTTTGGGGCCAATACAATCATCATTTTCTCTCATTTTTGGTGCTCTCCCTTCTGAATCTGTTATTTTTTAATTATGCTTGGTTGTCCTTCTTCAAATTTTATTTCAAGTCATTTCTTTCTCTACTTATTTACGCTTTTTATTTTCTGAGCAGAATCCAGAGGAAGTGATGCTTTTGGGTGCGGAATTTTGGATTTTTTGTTGGAAAAGGGAAGAGTTGTGAATCAGCAAAAACCACATGCATATGAACAAAATCAGATTCACTGTTTATTATCAAAATTTAGTACATGTTACTTAAATTTAATTCAATGATTTGAATTACATAGTAGAAATAAGAGTTGAGTTGTTCGTATTTTTATCGTGTTCTAAATTATATTTATTCCAAATGACTGGCCTAATGTTAAGGAATTTTTTTATTATTATTATTTGACTTTTCAAGTAGAATTAGCATTTAAAGAAATTTGGTGTAAATTCTTTTTATTTGACTTTTTAAGTTCAAACTTCAGAGTTAGCACAAAAAAAAATAGCATTAATATATTTATATATTCTTATATAATACTCAAAGTTTCTAATTGCATCATATTTATCTCTGAAAATATTAGAAATTTTTTTTTTAGGCAAATAATTTTTTTAACCCAAATGCTCATGATAAAAATGTAATAAAAAAAAGTAGGTCATGTGATTTTAAGTATTTTTTTTCTCATTTTAGTAAAAGATATTTCGATCAAAAATTTTTTCATGATTGAAAACTTTAATCGGAATGATAGATTGAATATTTCAAAAAATAAAAATAAAAACAAATGGAATGCTTTTAGTATTATATAAAGAGAGATAGATATATTTATCAAAAAATTTATTAAATTCCTTTAATTCATCATATCTTTCAAAAAGATATTTAGTTACAATTGACACAAAGGCACTAAAAATGTTCTAACCATTTAATAAAAAATATTAAAATATTACAAAGAAATTAAAAGAAGTGAGGGGTTTTGAACAGTGATTTTCATGTTCATCCCCTCACAAATCACTATTCATCTGATGTAGCTTAGCTTTTTTTTTTTTTTTTTTTTTAAGTTGTTTCATTTTGATCCATAAAATTTTAAAATAAAATTTTTAATCTCCTAACCGATGCACTACACATGTTTTTTTTATCTTTGATTTTTTTTCCCATCAATTTATGATTATAGAATCAATTTATTTGAAATAAATAATTAAAATAATTTTTTAAAGGAACCAACTAATTATTCAAATGCAGTTTTCATGATAATTTTATTGATTATTTTGTAAATATATAAAGATCAATTATTATAAATTTTTATTTAAGAATCCATGAATAAAGAAGAATAAATCATTTTTTTAAAATAGAAATTTTATGAAAAAAGAAAAAAATTAATAATTAAATAAAAAATTAATGAAAAAATATAAAATTTTTAAAATGATTTTGTTCTATCTCGCCCACAACGTTTCACGGATAATTTCAAATATTAATCTTCTCATCAACATTAAATAAGAGTATTTTTTTCATTTGTTAATTTTTATAAAAATTTGTCCATTAATTATAAATTTATATTTTAGAATAAAATATTATGAAAAATATGTTTTAAAAGTTTTTTTAATTCTTGATTAATATTTTAGTTAAAATTATTATAGTTTTTTATTTTAAAATCAATCCATAAAGAAGAATGATTTTTTTTTAAGCAGAAAATTTATAAAAAACATTAGAAAAAATTAATTAAATAAAAAATTTTAAAATTTTAAAATAATTTTGTTTTACCAAACTCGTAGCGTAGCGCGAGCAATCAGCTAGTAAGAACTAATTAATTAAGTTGTTAAACTAAAGGGACAAAGTGGTAATTTAGTCTTCTAATCACAACCTGAATGACGAGTCGTTCAGGAAGTCGAATAGTCTCTTAGAGGGGTCTCAGTCTCAGAACCCCTAAATTGAAATACACGACATCGCTTTCTTATGGAACGAAGCAGACGATTCTAGTGAAGAAGAAGAAGCCCGAAATCGAGGTGGATCGGGAGCCAGTGGAGATTCTCTAAATTTTGTTGCTTTCATTTTGTCTTACAGGTATTTTCTTTCTCAATCTTTATTTTTAATCTCATTGTTTACCTTAGCATCGCACTAACTGAGAGAGAGGGGAAAAAGAAAAAGATAAGAAAGAAATCAAAACCCTAGAATACATTTATTGAACCATGATCATCGAATTATGTACTTGTCTCCTGCTTGAATGTGATTTCTTGATGTTGGGTTTCATGTGAACAGCATTGATTCTTTTTTTAGGATGCCTTTGTTAGATTTCAATTCATTTCTCCGTTTACGATGATTTGGAAGTCTTACACTGTAATGGATTGTGTCTTGCACATTATCCTTTGTTGTGCCTGGATTGTCTACGATTTGTGTTTAAGTGTAGGTTGTTAGGCTAAATTACATGGAATTCCTTGAATGTTTACTGTGTTCCTTAATTGCTCGAAGTCATTGACGAGCTTCTACCTCTCCCCATTTCAGGTTCCTGCAATTTGAATGCGTAATTTTATGTTGCACATGCTTAATCTTTCCATTTGGTTTTATTTGGTCTTGATAACTTATCTACATTTTGTTTCTGTATTGAGACACAGTTTAGATACACATTCTTCTTTCATTATTGCTTATTTCTTATACTGGATTCATGCCCGTCCTCAATCAACTAAGATATTTCTTAAGCAATGGCTTTTAAGCTGTAACAATAAGCCAATTGCAAATATTAAAAGCATGAAGAAAGTTTCCTATATATATATATATATATATATATTAAAGTAAGCGGCAGCTTTGAATTATTTGTTTCTAATGTAGCACCAACTTCCATCTATGCTTTCAGGTTTTTTTATTTATTTTTGGGAATTGCTGTCATGGGTGATTTTTCTATTCAAATTACTCCAGAACTTGTTAAGCGGTTTGCTGATGATGGGGTGAAATTAAAGAATAAGACAAAGAAGACTAAACCTAAGGCCCGACGAGAACCTCCCCTGCCCAAACCTAAGGTGAATGAGAAACAGCTGCATGATGATTCTGAAAAACACAAAGGGATTGCTTCTCCACGATGGCCAGTTCAACCTCCATTGCACCTGGCAATAACTCAACCTGTACAGCCTGCAAATGCTGAGTTGGATGCAATTCGATCAGTCATTCGAGAGAGCGAGAGGGTTCTGGAAAAGTTGCAGAAGCAGGAAGATAACATGGTGCACCAAGTAACAGAAAGAGTCAAGGATCTCCGTGATAAGGAATTCAAGCTTCCATACCAGAAGCCTATGCCCTGTTTGGCCGATTATGATGCTTGCAAGGCATGCTACAAGGACCACGCTGATGATATTTTGAAATGTGCCCCCCTCACTAAGAGTTATTACGAATGTGTCCACAGAGCTAAGCAGCAAGAGAATTCAGCAGATAAGTAAACTTTATTGATAAAAATTTTCGTAAGTCATATACATGATTCCAACCCAATTGTGGGTTTTGAGAGATGAGACTATTACATTTTTGTGGTGCAAATAAATCAAATACTAATTGCCCTTATTGGACTGTAAGCTGTGCTGTCGTAGTGCATTTAGGATTTGGTTAGACTGATTGCTTCTGTCTCTAAACAATGTTGAAACTCTCATGGCAAGCAGTGCCATCTTAAAATTTATTTCAGAACCTTTCAGTGGAAGTTGAATACTTTCGTTTTGAATGTCAATTGGGCAACATGCAAATAATTAATTTTAACTTGGACGGTGTTCCTCTTATTTGAATGAGTATTCCAATTTACGAATGTCTTTGTGGTTATTGATTCTGGTGCATGCATCATTTTCATGTTCTAATGCAGCTCCTCCAGTAGTTAGTCATTAGATATTTTGGACTTGTCAAGGGAGAGTGGTAGCACAGAAAAATATATTATTAACAAAAAAGAAAAGAAAAGAAAAAACTAGATGGTGTTTTATTATTCACATATTATTCATTTGAACACAAATTATTATTCCTTGGCTATTCGCTACACTATTCATTAACAAATAAATCATTATTTATCTGTTATGGCATTTTATAAATTTTCTATTGGTTTTGGGAGTTTTATTAGATGGCATTTTGTGTTTACGCTTCAATCTTTATTTTTATAGCATTAACGTTTAAGTGATAATATTTCATTTGATTTATGTTTTGGTCCTTGGTTGTTGAGAAATGAGAGAATTGAGGAGAGATTCTATCGACTCGGACACAAAAATTGCTACCACTAGCATACATGTATTCGGATTGGCTAGGAGAGTTACTTGATGGTGGTGACAAGTCCCATAAGTCCTACATGATTAGAAAAAGGAGATCGTAGCCTAGAAAGATGGCGCCTCTCAACAGCAATCACTTAGATATACATTATTATTCATTTAGAAACAAATTACAATTCATTTGCAGTTATGGCATTTTAGAAAACTTTTAATTGGTTTTGGAAGTTTTTACTAGATGGTATTTTTAAAGTTATATATTGGGTTTTGAAGTTTTCATTTGTTGGTATTTTGGAAGTTTTCGATTGGTTTGAGGGTTTTAATTGGTTGCTAGTCTATTTTTACACTTTAATCCCAATTTTTTGTAGCATTTAATATTGAGTGATAGCCTTTATATATATATATATATATATATATATATATATATATACACACACCTACGTTTGGGTCCTTGGTAGTTGAGAGGAGAGAATTGAGGAGAGAGAATTTCTGGGCATGAAAATTGCTACCACTGGCATGCATGTGTTTGGATTGGCTAGGAGAGTTGGTGGATGATGGCAGCAAGTCCCGACATGTTTATTACGAATATACCTAATGGTTTAGGCTTCACACTGAACCTTTAAATGCTATTTTGCTTACAAAGTTTGTAAGGCTCTATGGCATAATTCAGGATTTTTTGGTGTCAGTTACACTAATCATGCTTTTAGGTGTAAGTTTTTTATGAAAAATATTTTCCTTTCATGAAATTTCAAATTAATATTATCAACTGAAATAATAAAAATTTATCTAAATCTCAGTCCTATTAATGTTGGAAGAAAAATTTTGAAAAATAATTAAACATAGACTTTTGATTATTAAAAAACAAAAAAAAAAAAAAAAAAAAACTTTTCAACTTAAACTTTATGACTTAAATATTGAGCAATCTAAAATTTGGGATAATTACTAGAAAAATCTTATAAAAAAATCTTCTACCTAAAAAACCCACTCGTTATGAAATAATGAATGTCTATTATCATGTTCATCCACTTTTTATATCACCACTACTCATGATTATTAATATGATTCAATTCATCATTCAATATGAGAAATTAAAAGGGTGATGCAATTGATTATTTATAGTCCCTTCCTCAATTTTGAAGTCTATAAATAGGCTTGATTGTCCATTAGTTGGTGTACAAGTTTTCTAAAGAGAATAAGATAAACTTTGAAGTTCTTATCACATGTATTCACATTATAGTGATTTTATTTTCTTATCATCATTTCTTCAATTCTCTTATTATTTTTATTTATTTTATAAAACGTTATTAGCACGAAGCTCTAACTAATCGAGACAATAGACCATGAGGTATGTATCTATCAAAAGATTTAATCAATTGTTTCAACAATTGGATTTTTTCTACACAAGTACTCTACAAAAAGATTTAAATTATTTAGATCATTAAGAGCTTTGTATCTAATTTAGTCATGTACTTTAAATCTATTGATACATGAAATATGTATTTGAAAAACTTAAATGATCTACTAATGATCTAATATATGTTATTTGAAAAGTTTTAATTTTATTATTATATTTGTTCTTATTTTTTAATATTATTATTATATATTGTATTATAGAATTTTTATCATATCAAACCTCATAAACTTGATTTGTTGACTCTTGATATTTTGAATAAGAATTATTGATTATGAGTGCTTGATTTTGAAAAAATATTCTCTACTTCTTATGTCTTGGATATGCTCCTGCAATAGCATATCGAGAAAAGAGTAAAAGAGTTTAAGAAATATTTTGGATCAATTTTATACTTGTTAGTGGCTAAATAAAATGAAAAAGAATAAATCTCATCCAATTAGATCTACTCGATTCCTCGAAGTGAATGTGATAATTTATAATAATTTTAGACTTGGATGAAGATGTGGTCATAACCATAGATATGGTCGAAATAATTATCATTATAATCGTAATAATATTACATCTCACCACTAGAAGTGGATAACTATGAAAAAAAATAGATAAAATCAATATTCTGAAAAATAAATATTATAGATGTAGAATGAATGAATATTGGTCGTGTATCTGCCGTACACAAAAATACCTCATTGAGCCTTATCGAGCCTTATTGAAAAATAAAAAGTAAAATATGAATGTCACTTTTATATATCAAAATAATAGTAATTGAAATTAATTATTTGTTAGTTTTTCTATTTATAAATAAAATATTTTATATTTCTAATAATTTATATCATATAGTGATGGTTACAAATTTATTTTACTATTTATTTTTTTTTTATGAGGAATATATTTATTTATTTATTTATTTTATATTGATTTATTTGATTATTTATTTTATGTTAATATTATATATAATAATATCAATCTAATAGAAAGCTTTAGAAGAGCGACTATATTATTATCTAAAGAGATAGATTTTGAAGGTTCTAAAAGAGCGATTATATCATGACTTGAAGAGACAAATTTTTGAAGCTCTATAAGAGTGAATAAATTATTAATTGAAGAGAAAATATTTAAAAGCTCTAGAAGAGTCGATATATTATTACTTGAAGTGACTAATTTAAAGGCTCCGGAAAAGCAAATATTTTATTATCCGAAATGATAAATTTATTATGAATGATGTACTATTCTCTTCAAATTCTCATGGAAATTTATTGAGTTTTAAAAATATTTGTCTAAATAGACATTATATCAAGACGATAAATGTCAAAAATTGAATTCTTAAATATTATAATTATATCGGATAGAAAGCATGTATTGGAGAAATTATTTGCTTTCTCCTCTATTCTTTATTACCAACATTGGAATGCTTGAAAACAAAATATAGTATAGTAAACCAAAAGTTTACTAATTCAAATACTTTTATTATGTGACATGACCAATTGTGTTATCTTGGGTCTTTCATGATGCGAAAAATTATTAAAAATTCATATGGACATCTATTGAAGAGCTAAAAGATTCTTCAATTTAATAAACTTTCACGTTCGCATGTTGCCAAGGCAAATTAATTATTAAGCCATCATTAAGTAAAAATGAGATTGAATCTTCGGTATTTTAAAATGTATTCAAGGTGATATATGTGGATCAATTCATCCACCATATGGATCATTTAAATATTTTACGATTTGATAAATGCATCCATAAGATGGTCACATATATGTTTATTATCTATTCGAAGCCCGATGTTTTCGAGATTGCTAGCAAATAATTTGATTTCGAGCATAATTTTCAAATTATGCAATTAAAACAAGTCACTTTGATAATGTTGATGAATTTATTTCTCAAGCATTAAATTATTATTGATTGATATTAAAATAAAGGTTGAACATCCTGTTGCTCATGTTCATACTTAAAAAAGGTTTAGCAAAATCATTTATCAAAAGGCTCCAATTGATACCTAAACCATTATTTAAAAATAAAACTCCCTGTTTATGTTTAGGGACATGCAATCTTACATGCAGCAACACTTATTCGCATATGACCCATAAGTTATCAAAAATTCTCTCATTTTTAATTGATTTATGATCATGAGCCAATTATTTCTTATTTAAGAATTTTTGGCATTACGATGTATATTCTTAGTGCTCCTCTATAATGAAATAAAATGGGCACTTAAAAGAGATTGAGAATATATGAATCCTCTTCGATAATTCAATCTCTTGATTCATGAACAAGAGAAAATTTTTACGACTCGATTTACCGTCCGTCATTTTGATGAAATAGTTTTTTTAATATTAGGGAGAGAGAATAAGCAAAATAAGCGAGTTGAAAATGTTGAAAAAAAAAGATTACATGGAGTACTCTATCTTATATCACCTTAATTCTTATCGAAGATAATGTGAAGTAGAAGTTCAAAGATAATTCATTTACCGGATATTGAAACCAACCGCCGGATGCATTCTCGGACCTTAAATGAGTAACTAAAATGCATGTCCCCGCTAAGAATGCTCCTATTAGAATTAATGTTCTAAAATGATAGTCTATTAATGTTATAGTTAATGAAGCTAAAGCACGCCCGAAGCATGGAAGATCGATCGGTTCCAAAGATAAAAATCCCTAAAAGAAAAGGGCAAGATGAAAATATTCACAAAACGGTCCAATATATTTCGATAATAGGCTTCCGGAAGAAGTCCAAATACTTGAGAAAAATCAAGAAATTTTGATAAATTATATCAATGTAGGGAGAAAATAGGATCGAAAAGAAACATCTATTGATAAGATTTTTGCATATAATATTGCAATTGATATTATAGATAAAAATAAGGATCCCGAGCCTAAATTATTGAAAAATGTTGATATAAAGATGATTGGCCTAAATGAAAAGAGCAATCCAGTGCGAATTATGTTCTTCTACAAAAAAGTAGTTTTTTGAACTCATAGCTAAAACACTCGAAGATGTTAAGTTGGTGGGATACAAATAAGTATTTATGCGAACACGAAATAAAAAAGATGAGATTGTAAGATACAAAGTAAAACTTTCAATACAAGAGTTTTGGCAAAGAACCGATATTGACTATGAGGAGACATATTCTCCTATAATGGATGCAATTATATTTTATTATCTCATTAGCTCGACAAAATATATGAAAAATATTCCTATGTATTAAATAAATGTGATCACAATTTATTTATTCATTTGAGATGAATCGGTATGAAAGTCCTAGAAGGACTTAACATGCCACAAGCATGTAATATATATTCTCGAGATAAGAATTCAATTAAATTATAGAGATTTCTATTAGGATTATTTTAGTATTTTTTTATTATTTTGGTTTTTAGAAATTCAATTTATACTTTTTATATTTTATTTTTATATCTACTCGTTTATTACTAACCCGTGTGCATGTGATATAATCACTTCAATGATTATTTGTTGAAAGTAAGTTATAAAAAATAACCCGTTTTGTTCATATGTTTTTATTTGAAAAGGGGTTTGTTGTATATGTTGATAACTTAAATATTATTGGAACTTCGAAGAGATTCCAAGTATCATACCTAAAAAGAGAATTTGATGTGAATATCTTAGGAAAATAAAATGTTATCTCGACTTGCAGTTCGAGCACTCGGAGAATGAGATTTTCATTCATCGAGTCAATTTATATAGAAAAAGTTCAACAATGATTCTATATAAAGATCATTCATTGACTAGCCCAATGATAGTTCAATCACTTGATATTCAAAAAGACCCTTTTCGACCTCGAAAAGATAACCAAGAACTACTTGGTCCCGAAGTACTATATTTTAGTGCCATCGGTGCATTGATGCATCTTGCTAATAATACTCGACATGATATAGTCTTTTCTATAAATTTGTTAGCAAGTCATAGTTCTATTTCAATATAGAGACATTGAAATAAAGTTAAATATATACTATGTTATCTTCGAAGAATAATTGATATGGGATTATATTATTCTAATAAATCAAAGAGAAGATTAATTGGTTATGCGGATGTAGGTTATTTATCCGATCTACACAAAGCGCGATCACAACTCGGTTATATATTTACATATGGAGATCCAAGCTATATCTTTGTGTTCTATAAAGAAAACTATAGCTGTCACATCTTCAAATCATACAAAAATATCAATTCATGAGGCAAGTCAAGAATGTGTTTAGCTAAGATCAACGATCCATCGTATCCGAGAAACATGCGGTTTATCTACCAGCAAAAGAAGTTCCAATAATATCATATGAGGATAACGTTGCTTGCATAATTCCACCGAAGGAAGAATACATCAAAGTGACAATCCAACGATTTATTTGCTAAAGCATTACCTACCACAACTTTTAAGAAGATGATTCACAAGATTGGAATGCATTATCTTAAAGATCTTAAATAATGCCTTCAACAGGGGAGACAAAAATGAAGATTAATGTGTGCAAGGAATATTATACTCTTTTTCCTTCATTAGGATTTTTTTCCCACTCGGGTTTTTTTCTTAGTAAGGTTTTAACGAGGCATGTTCTTTGTACAATGGACATTCGAGGGGAGTGTTATGAAATAATGAATGTCCATCATCATGTTCATTCACTTTTCATATCTCCACTACTCATGATTATTAATATGATTCAATTCATCATTCAATATGAGAAATTAAAAGGGTGATGCAATTGATTATTCATAGACCCTTCCAATTCTCTCCTCAATTTTGAAGCCTATAAATAGGCTTGATTGTTCATTAGTTGGTGTATAAGTTTTCTAGAGAGAATAAGGGAAGCTTTGAAGTTCTTATAACTTGTATTCATATTATAGTGATTTTATTTTCTTATCACCATTTTCTTCAATTCTCCTATTATTTCTATTTATTTTATAACACCCACAAATTTATTTTTAAAACTCTCAAACTCAAAATAATATTTTTCTTATCAAAAACACTTAATAATTAACACTACTAGTGTTAACTATTGTTTGTTTTGATAAGAAAAATATTATTTTAGGCTTGGGAGATTTAAAAATATTATTTTGTGTTTAGGAGATTTAAAATTAAAATAGCAAATTTTTTATATTGAAGATTTTTAGAAGGTATTTTGATAATTATCCTTAGTTTAAAGGAAACCATTATCTTTAAAGATATGTATTTCTATTATGGATGATCAAGTTTTATTTAATTAATGCACTATAATATGTTATACATTCATCTTGCAATTTAATTTAATTGTTTGATAAAAAAAAGTTTAGTTTTGATTAATTAAATAAAGTATTATTGATTATGTTTTTTTTTTCTATCAATATATTATGGTTTAAGAAATCACTAATGTTTTATTTTTCTTATTTGTATGATAACCTTTTGATTAAATTACAAGAGAATGATAAGGTCTCATTTCATCAATATTAATTAGTTAAATTGCCTCGGTTGCTATAGTTACTAGGTAGTAAAATTAATCTCGTAATTAATGAAACAAATGGTCGATAAAAAAAAACTCTAATATATAATAAAAAAAAGTAGTCGAATGTTAGTGTTTAGAAGTCAATGAACCTTAAAAACTTTTTTTTTTCTTTCGAATGCAATAAAAAAGAAATTGATTTGATCATGAAAAAAAATATCGAACTCATTAAAAACTATGAAATGAGTTTATTATTGGATAAAAACTATATAAAAAAAAACTCTAAAAAAATTCTATTTAAAAAATTCATCAATTTATTTTTTAAATCTCTCAAATCTAAAAATAATAATAATAAAAATTCTTACCAAAAGACCCAATGGTTAACTAGTGTTAAGTTAGATGTTAACTATTGAGTGTTTTAGTGAGAAAAATATCATTTTGGGTTTAAGAGATTTAATAATAAATTGATAGGTTTCTTGGATATAAGATTTTTTTAGAGGGTTTTTCTTATTGTGATTGATGCATTATTGAAAACATTTGATGGAGATGTTTCCTTTAATGAAATTTTGAGTCAATTAATAAAAAAAATATCTAATTTTTTGTACCTTTATGTTAGGGGCAAAATTTTCATTCAAAATGTTAGGGAGCCATAAAGTTTTGGTGGTTTAGAAAATTAGCTTTCCGTTTTAAATTTAGCAAATGAAATACTCCATAGCTTAATTTTGGAGTAAAATATCCTTTCACTTAATACGTATTCATGAATTTTAAGATTGAAAAATTTTTAGAGATTAAAATTCCATTGATGAGATATTAAATTGATTTTTAGTTAAACTTTTTTTTTTAATCTAAATTTTTTGCACATATATTGATATTCAGGAGCAGTTTCTTTTTTATCATACAATATAGCAATTTCATTAAACATCGAAAAGTACAAAACACGTGCTATTTTTAAAACCCAATTGATATAGAAATTACAATTTACTAATTACTGGAAGAAGATTAAACAAAAACAACCAACAATAATGATAAAATATAATCTTACATATCACTATTAGTCTGTATGTGGAGTCAAATTATATTTCTATTGCCGACAATGATTAGGATTATTTTCTATTAATGAAAGAGAGAGAGAGAGAGACTTAAAAATATAGAGGCTAGTAAAATCAGCTTTTCTTCTTAAATTTAGGAAACAAATGCTCCAAATCTTAAATTCTCGACGATAAACATTATTTTTTTATTTTTTATAGCATGTATATAATATGTATAGCATAAACTTTATGAAGTAGTTTTTTTTGAAAATGAAAAATTTCATTAAATTGAATTAGTTAAGATAGATTAATCGAAATTCTTGTCACTGTGATATTGTAAAAAAAAAAAATGAATATCCATCGAAATTTAATTATAATACATTTGTATTTTAACATGAATTGACTAAAAAAAAATTATTAAAAATCTTTTATAAGCGGGCCGCAGCAGCGTACGGCCCTGTTTGCTGGTTTCTCTTCTATTCGGTGGGAGTTCAATTTGATTGCTGTGCACAGATTTTTGTTGGTTAGTGCCGCTTGAGATCTACGGTCCTTATGAGGGGTTTCGTGCGGAGGAATTGAAGATTTCTCCTGTCAACACATTTTAGATGTTAAAAAATATTATGTTTGGTTCGATGGACAATGTCAAATTCTGGATTGAATTTCTGAGAATTCGATTTTTTGGGCATTACATTTCTTATAAAATTTGATATTTTTTGGACATCACATTTCTTATAAACCCAAAAAACGTGATGTCCTTGTAAAATAACAGGAATCCGATTCCTTTGAATGGTAAATGTAAGAATTTTATTTTATTTTACTAAAATATCTCCACTATTAATATTAAATGGACTAACCTATTAGTTAATGAATCCCAAAAATGCAAACAGAAATACAATCTAAACAATGGAAAGCCTCTCTCTTTTGTTCCGTGAATTTAATTTTGCCATTGCTTAGAACTTCGATTGAAGGTAATTAAAAATGAGTGGATCTCTGGGGCAGAGCCAAACACTGCATTTGCAATGGTAATCACACCTGGGTTTTGGCTGCTCAAATCTGAAATGGCAACAACATTACCATTTCCCACATTTCTTTGGTAATGAACAAGACCAACAGGAAACACAAACACATCACCCTTCTGTAGAATTTTTGTGATGAGACGGTTCTCAAGGTTAGATGTAACAAATCCAACTTCAAGACTTCCTTCAAGGACTGTCATGATTTCGGTGGCACGAGGGTGTGTGTGTGTGGAGGGTTGATGCCCCATGGAGCATAGCCAATGCGAACAAGAGTGTCAGGCCCCTGGTATTTGGGCTACGTTAACTTTGGCTACCCTAGACCCCACTGGATTTGATGTGTTGCGTGTCAAGTGAAGTCCACTGAAGGAGAAGTCATTAGCTTCAACCTTTTGGGTTCCTTGCAAGCCAGACCATTCACCATCGCTGCCATAAAACAAGTGAAATGCATTATTTTATCAATAAAGAGCCACAACACTTGAAAATCTAAGTATTTTGAAGCAAGGGATGCCAAAGAACAATTCAAATCTAAAAGTTGACTCAAATTTTAATTTGTAATTATATATGAATATCAAAGATTGGCAATTGTCGTCTACACATACGTAATTACCATTACTATTTGCCTCTGCCACACAGAAATCTTGAAGCGAGCTTGCGTCCGATGGTAGGGCATAGGTGAAGGACAAAGCTTGGAATCCAAGAAAAGAATGGAAGCCATTTGCAAAATCATAAATGCATGGAATAAATCAAGAGGATGAAGCAATTCTACGAGTACTAATTTCTCCTGATTTTAACTATGTGCATCACATACACACACATGTTTCGTTTATTTGACGAAAAATAATTTTCAATAGAAAAAACAATAATGGAAAAGCTATTTTCCAAGAAATTATTCTCTAAAATTGTTTTTAGAACAAATATTTTCTCACATTTGACAATTACAAAAAAAAACTATTAAAAAATATATTCTAGCAATTATTTGATATAGAAAATTGAAATACAAAAATAGGTTATGATTGTTATATTAACGAGTTTTGAGGAAACTTCAATAAGGTATATTCACAATTTTACAATATATAAATTATTAAAAGATCTTACATACATAATAGTTCATCTACAAAAAGCTACAAAAACAGAGCATATGAGTTATTATATGTTAATGTATCAAAACACAAAGCATAAGTTATAATCAAGATTATATCGAGATAGAGATCCATGGTGTTGAAATATCATTTAAACCATATTTTTTTTCCCATTCGGATGTAGGAAATATTTTAAAATCAATTTACAATTGAAACTAAATCTTTTTTCCGAAAGATTTTTAAAATATACTTTTAAAATCAATAAGATGCATTTAGGAAAAATTAATAATTTTTTATAAATAATGACTCTAAAATTTAAATTTTTTTAAAAAATAAACTATATATTTTTAACCATCAACCCAATTCATCAAAACTACTTGGGACAAAATCAAGTCAATATTCACATTTAGTTAAAAAAAAAAATTTCTAAGTAATCATAGCATTGTTATTTTGATAACTCAATTAAGATTTTTTTTTTTTTTTTTTTAGAAATTGAACTGATAATTTTGTCTAAAAAATAATTTTACAAATTATTACTTATTATTTGTAGATAATTATTCATTTAGTTTCAAAAGATTAATTTTGGAATAATTATAACTAATTATTGACTACAATTACTATTAAAATTTTGCAACCGATTAAAATTAGTTACAAATTATTGATTTAGTTGCAAATGAATGGTATTGAAAAAATAGTGTATTTATTAATGAATTAATTAGTTTCAATTTTTTCATAAATGATTGCACTCTTGTAATAATAGTTTTCAATTATTTAAGTATAGTTTAAATGGTATTTGGGATAATAGTAAAAAAATATAGATAAATTATTAAAATATTTATTATAAAAATAATTTTTAAGGTGTAAAAATAGTTTTTAAGAATATTTAATGTATTTATAAATAAAAAAAATCAAATGTTAGTAGAAATAGAGAAAAATTGATTAAATAATTAATAATAATTGATAAAAAATAATTAAAAAATAATTTGATATATTTTATAGAAAAAAGAAGATAGAGTAAAAAATTGTTAAACTATATCAAGAGAGAGAGAGGTGAGTAATGTGAGAGCGAGACAATTTGTGTGTGTGTGTGTGTGTGTGTGTGAGAGAGAGAGAGAGAGAGAGAATGTTTTCTTCTTTTTTAACTCGGAAGTCACTTTCTCAAAAAATAGTCTATTAATTTTCATTGACTAGAAATCAATATTTGTTGACTTTTTTTTCCTAAACGCGAAACAAATACCGTAAAATGAAAAAAAATGAAAAAAACAAGTTTCTATAACTTATTTTTCTTAAAACAAACATAGCATATATATATATAAAGGAGTTTCGGACTATTTCAATGGACGGTGTTGCTACTCGTCGAATTTGATCTTAAAATGCAAGTATATCGATGCTTTAATTTTGTGATTAAGTCCTTCACGATGACATGTTATAGGGTTCGGTTTCGCCTAGCAAGCCACCGGGACTTTCCATGGGTACTTAATTTAAAGAGCGAATAATAAAATAAATAGAATTTTATCTATTGAAAGAGACAAAATTAATTAAAAGTGTAAATATCATAAATCAGAAAATATAACACTTATATTGTTAGCTATCGAGATGTTTGATGTCATTATGATAGATCAATGCTTCCTAAATTGCAAAAAATAAAATACTAATACACTACTTACAAGAAAGTAGGAACTAACTATTATAAGGTAAACTAAGGAATTGAATAAACTTGTATAAGAAGTCTTGTATTGTTGATCGTGTGCGATTATATTAGTCCTCCCTCCTTAAATAGCTTTTGACTGAAAAATTATCTTTTATTTAAATTCAAGCACAAATAGTTATTAATAACAGATCCTTTTGTTTTTTGTTTTTTTTTTCATGCATATTCTCTTTATTGAAACTAGCTGAATACAAGACTAAACATATTGTTTTATTTAAATCTTATCACTTCGTTGAAACTTGATTGATTATATTACTAAACGCATCATTTCACTCATGACTTAATGCTTCATCAAAACTTGGTTTGTTATCGGATTAAAAGTATTGTTTCATTAAGGACTTAAGGCTCCATCGAAAACTATTGGTTTACGAGACCAAAATGCTCTATTCCACTTATACCTTACTATTTTCATCATAAAAAGACACCTCATTTGATTGACATATGACCTTGAATTTTGAGGTGCCAACGCATGCCCCCTTTTCAGCCCTTTAAAGATAAAATGAAAGATTTCCTCCTTTAATGGGCAAAACATTAAATGTTGATGGTTATGATAAGACATCGCACTCGTTTTACTTTTTAAATAGCTACTCATAATTATTTTACTACCTCGATTACCCAACAATTAGTGGCTTTTGTAACCCCTATCCGAATCATTGAATCTTAGTACTTAAAGATCATGAATCTTAAAATGAATCATAAAAAAGAAAAATGACTTGCAACATTTTTACTTTTACGGTAACTCATTTTTTTGCTAAAATCTTGCAAGATAAAAAACTCTTGCTTTCTTTCTATCATTCCATTGAACATCTTTTCTACCTTTTGTTAATTTTTTCATTTCTCCATAATAATGGCTCCAAAAGGTAACGTCAAATCTTTAAAGAAATCCATCTAAGATAAGATCACTTTCTAAAGGGATTGCTATCGATTATAGTCAATAGGTGCATTAAAATGTATTTTCTCTAATCTATTACTAGTAAGAACATTGTCGATGTTGTGATTTAAACTAAGAAAAATCCAGAGAAGAACTCTTACTAGACATTAGGTCCTTCAATCAATACTAAGGTTGTCCATCTTGCAAACATGATCGACATAACCTTTTCAAGGATTTATGATACCGGCATTCTCTTATCTCCTGAATCTTATCTAACTCTATAAAATTAGACTTAATATGTTAAGGATTTTTCTATTATTTGGTCGAAACTAGATGCCAAATATGAAGATTAGGTCAAGAAGAGGCTTATTCCATAGTTAGGTAGGAAATGGGATGCAATTGGGATTCACGAGGCCATCCTTTTGTCAACCTATTCTTATACAATAAACCCTACCTTATTAAAGGCTATGATTGCTTCCTGGAATCCTTATGCCGGTAGTTTCAATTTCTAGAAGGACATATGTCGATGACCTTACTCAATGTTATGGCCATCGCCTATTTGTACCATAATGGCTAAACTTTGGCTTTCAAGCACAAATGATGATGACCTTAAAATTCAAGAAAACGAGCTTCCTAAAGCTTGTAGACACCTAGTTGATTGTTGCAAAGAAGGGACGAAGTATCTCATGATAAAGAGATTGATTTTTATTTCTTATGAATCCGTAAGTACTTTGTTAGCTCAAAGTCGAAGAAACCAATTAACGCCTTTTTGCCTTGTGCCATGAATTTGGGTTCGTTTGATGGAACGAGCAAAGTCGTCATGAGTCCACTCCTCTTTTTTTGTACATATGTAGGACTTTGAGATGCATCAATTAACATGCTCAAGACCTTATCATGTCCTCTCTATTTCATTCAGATATGGAGAGAATTTTATTTCCAAACCTTGAATCATCCTCATCTTATCAAAGAGGACTTGGATAACTATAGTCACTCTCTCATACATGATACACCGTTTCGTCCTCCTTCACTTTTGAATGCTTTGAGGTATATTCTTGACCCTTAACATAAGTGAAACAAATTAAAAGGCTAGATGCCCTTCCATGCATACGGATATGGGCCACCTGTGGTTTTAATCAAATAAATTACTTCGTAGAATACAATTCTCTTCTATATGGAGTGCAATTTTAGTAAGTCGAGACTCGATTTACTCTCTTTGAGATGCAATGTTCACTAAAAGCTTACAACCCTAACCTATGTGGTTGTCAATTTAGATTGATCCAAACAAGTAGCTAGACCATTGATCTCAACCATCAATCGGTCGTGGAATAAAAGAAAGGGAATCGAAACCCTCTAGAATAGGTTACTAAGAAAGAATCGATGGCTTATGCCAAATTATAGTACCTTAGTGGTTATCACCCAAATATTGGTGTAACCTCTTCTTTCATTGCAATGTGATCAATGTTCTAGGAAAATAATTTTCCTATAGCCAATAAACGAAGTTGTTCTATGATATAGTTAACACGTGGACTATAAGAAAATCATAATTGACCAATGCTAGAACACTTAAAAACCTTGCAAGTCTTTTACTCT